TCAATCCATGGAGTTTTAAGACCATGTCTACACAGAGGAACCTATTGACTATCAAAAGTCCTTTGCTTATCTTACCAGAAACACTAATCAATCAGTGCGTGTGTGAAACTCAATTTCAGCTCGTTCCCTTTCAAATTTACCCTAAACTTAGAGGAGCATCAATAGCAGGTGAAGGGGCGCCCTTTTAAATCACTCGAAAGCGGTTTTTCGTCAACCAGCAGGAGCGTGACCCCGGCAGCCGCTTCCTTCCGGACGTGCCGCCGGGCCCACCGCGCGGGCAGCTCTGGGCTCGGAGCACCTGCTGAGCGCAAGGAAGGGCGCCTCCCCCGGGGTCCGTGCCCCGTTTATCAGCGGCGGCGCCGGCGCCGGGCCGGCCTCCGGGCCTCACCATTTGATGATGTTGTGGACCAAAGGCAGGAACGAGTAGCTGTCCTCCTTCGCGCCCGCCGGGGACGGGGGCCTCGGCGCCGGCTGCTGGGGCGCAGCGACGGGCGGCGGCGGCGGCTTCGGCTCGGCCAGCGGCGGCTCGGCCGGCGGGGGTATCGCATCTTCGGCCGGTCGCCCGGCCGCCAACCCGGCGGAGGCCATGGCGCTCGGAGAACGCCAGCAGCCGCCCAGTCAGGGAACGGGACGGCGCGGCCGCCCACACGTCACTTCCGTTTCGGCCCGGGAGGGGGCGGGGCCTGGAGGCTGTGCGCGTGCTCACTAGGGCGCGGGGCGGGGCAAAGCCGCGGTTGTTACTAGGCAACGGGCGGTTGGCGGGTGAAGATTGCGGAGACAGCTAACTCTTGGAACCGTCAGAAGTCGGAGATTTATTTCAGAAAAACATCTTATTTTTTCTCAGTGGACGAAGAGGGTCCACAAGCAGCGAGTAGAGGGAGCCCTGGATGGACGGTCAGCACGGCCCGGCCTGGGCTGGGGGGGGAGGTGCGGGGAGCGGGGGGCTCCCGCAGGGCCGGCTGCACTGCGAGCGGAGGGGACACCCCTCACCTGGGCTTGAGGCCGGGCCTACGGCCCTGAGAATTCTTATGGAAGACCAGCCCGCACCCCCAGAGGCCTCCAGGCGGAGAGGACGAAGCTGACCCTGCGCAGCCCCAGGACCGGGCGCAGAGGCCGCCACGCCCGCCCCCTGGATGGGGAAGAACTGAGAATTCGACACTTCATACGCTTCTTCTGGATGCTGTGCGAGATGTGGGGGCGGTGGGAAGGCGTCCCACAGAAGGGGTTAGTGTCAGGAATAAGCACGAGATCCTAGGAGCCAATCCTCCGTCCCTGTGGGACATTTCCTCTCCTCTGAAATCTTTAGTTCAGGGTCATAGCAGAGCCTGCACTGCCTTCTAACTTCTGCAGATGCATGATTAACCTCCAGAGGTTTGGTTTAAGGACATCATAGGGCCCTAGGCCAGGCCGAGGGACCCCAGTGCACCGGGCCTCTACTATGCATACAAGTTCTTTGGTTAATCTCTTCCTACCCCCATTGTGTGTTTTTTGTTAATCCTCATCTGAGGATATGTTTATTGATTTTTTTTTTTGAGTGAGAGAGAAACATTGATGTGAGAGAGAAACACTGATCTGGGGATTGAACAACAACCCAGGTATGTGTCCTGACTGAGAATCTAACTGGGAACCTTTTTGGTGCACGGGACATGCTCCAACCACCTGAGCTACCTGGCCAGGGCCCAGTGTGTTTTATAACTTAATCACAAGCCTCAATTTTAATGTTGGCAGAATAATGAGGACCTCTCTTTTATATAAAAGGGAAAAAATGATTTCGGTATAAATAGACACGGCTAAAGAAAACAAATTGAAAACATAGGAAACATGAAAGAGTATGTTACATTGACAATTTGCCCTAAAAGTAGTTAATATAATTAATTAGTGGCAAAGAGTAAAGCTGGCTTCATAACATTGTAAGTGGGTGTCAAACAAACCTACCAGTTTCATTAAAGCTAAACCTGCCACAACAAATGTGTCTGTTCATAACTGTTCCATTAGAAGTTAAAACAGATGCTCTGTTGACACGTAAGGGCTGTACGTCGCTAGAGACGCCACCACATGAAGCTACTTGGCCGTTGCTGTCTGAGGCAGATTCTCAAAGTGCCCCCCTTCCAGTGCAGTTGGCAGTTCCAAGGTCAGGCCGTGGAGCCAGCCCCCGGCTGGGTCCCAGCTCATCCTGCTGGAAGGAGCGACCTCGCACAGCCTCCTGTGCAGCCCCGCAGCCTCCCGGAGGCTGAACGGGTGGTTCCACATAGACCCCTTAGGAAGTATCTGTGAACAGTAAATGTTCTGATGTTTCAGTTTTAGGGCTTGCTCCTTCACCAATTAGCAAAACCCAGCTGCCAGCAGTTAAAGGAAGGGTCTAGAATAGATCAGAGCTCTCTGGTGGACAGATCATGGAAGCCACACATCACCACATATATTGGTTTCGATTTTCTAGTAGCTACATGAAGAACACACACAGGCACAATTGATTTTAATATATATTTTATTTAATCCACTACAACCTAATCAATATAAAAATTATTAGAGGCGTTTTACTGTTTTTCATACTGTCTTAGAAGTCCAGCATGTGTTTATACTTAGAGCACATACCGATTCAAACAGCTGTGTTCTAGTGCTCAGGACGGTGGTCAGCC